AAACATTTTTTGTTATGCTGGTTGAAAGTCTCTTCACATCCCGATAGCAATCATTAAGTTAAGTGGTCTAAATGTATTTATCTGTATTTATATATTCTGTGGAAGGCGTAGGACCAAGAAATGTTCGTCCAATCAAAACGCTCGGTCCGAGAGTTTTAATTGGCTTTCCTACCTGCCTGTCAATGTATGTATTAACATACCTCTGCGCACCGGGTTCGCGCAGACAGGATACGTCATCAGCTCGTTCACGCACGCTGTGCTGACAGAGCGAGAATGGCAGACCAACATCAACAACCCGATCTTCCTTCGTGGTATTGTAGTACTTTTAAAGTTTTCTCACCGGTGAATGACATGATGTAGCCCAGCGGTTAATCCAGTCCTCGCACTAGCTCGTTAGAAGTGAGCTACGTGCATGAACTGTGTTCCGATTGATATGATCCCTACACAGTGTTCATTGCTCCCTACTCCCTGAGCAGGGGAAATCCGTTGAAGTTTACTTCACTTCGGAACATATATATATGTGTGTGTGTGTGTGTGTGTGTGTGTGTGTGTGTGTGTGTGTGTGTGTGTGTGAAGTATGAAATACTTGTGGTCTTCTTCCTCTGAGATTTTCTTCCCCACTTTCCAAAATGTTACTACACCTGTGTTTGTTTTCTAGCACTACTAGACAGTACTTGGATAGAAGCCTTGATGTTTTGCTATAAAGTTTAATGAGAATGCTTTGTGTGCTGTTGTGACTTTAGTGTTGTATTGGTTTACAGATTCTCCCTCACTCCAGACGCAGCCAGGGACGCATTCACCTTTGACCCTCAACCTTAAAGTCTTTCAGGAACAAAGTTGTGTCATGGACTGATGTGACAGACATATTTATTTTTAATGTTGGTTGCACTGTCTCTCTTTCTCCTTCCCCTTTCTCTCTGAATTAATCACATGGGCCTCCATCTGAGTACACTGTGCATGTTTTTGAGATTTATGTGCATACATCATAATTTTTGTACATGCTGATTTTTATTTGTAAATATTATGTACAATGGGCTTCTTAATTGTGAATGACTAGTTATGAGTATTGAGACAGGATGGCATTAATTGTAAGATTCTTAATCTTATAATGCTACAGGTCAGTTTCTTTCAGCCACCAATGTTGTATATAATTATGGTGTGATCTATGCAATGCTTCTTTTTTTTTATACAGATTTTTTTTTAAGCCTAGTTGAACTAACAAGTTCTCTGAACAAAATATCAGTCTAAGTTTCGAACTTGATGGCACTTGATTTGCTAATTATTTGTTCATCCATATTTCTCCCGTATTTTCATCCTTTCCTACAAAGCGCAAATGCAGTATCATATTCAGAAGCAATAAACAAGTTATAAGCCTTTCAGATATGTTCAAAGTGTGTGCTATTGCATAATCTAGTTTATTATACAGCTGTATGGAATACTTAATTCTGACTGGTTAGTTGCACCATCCAGCAGTCTGATTTCCTGATTTCTTGTATACATGTGTATATATATCCTTATCCAGGTAACTGAAACTGATGCTACACACATCTTTTATTTTGTGATCTCTTCGTTCATATATATGCAATTGGCGCCATTTTGCGTCTCAGTTATCAGTTGTAGTGAAAATGACCTCAGAGCACTAAAGTATTTATATTTCCGTAAAATGGTTGCAGTTCTTGGCTGATTGTTTTATACATTGTAATGGACTTTTTTTTTTTGTAGAGGAAATGTCAAGATAATATAAAAGTTCAATTAAAATAATTTAAAACTTAATTGTAATTAATTAAATTATTTGTTTATTTGGTGGGATAATAATAAGCGGGATAATGTGCAAGCAGCTATTAATTATCACAAAATAAACCCTGACAGTGTCCTGTATCGCCCTGAAAGAGTATATGTTGCAATAATGTTTGGCGATGTCATTTTAATACATTTTTCAATAATTTATTTTAATAATTTTAATTGCATATCTAATTAAGCTGAATGCTCAGAAGTAAACTTTAAAAATAAAATGTAAAATATTTAAAATATGAAAGAAATTATAATTTTTTTCTGTTTTTCTGTATGAAAAGTTCTATGATTATGAAGGGGCATACTATCACTGTTCTTCCTGCCATATAAAGATAAAGCAGCAATAGCAGCAATGAAAAGGCATTAAATGCATTAAAGCTTACATGCATATGAAACCTTTTTGTATGAAGCACTGAATGTGCATTGTGTGTGCCTTTGACCCTGACCTAACAGCCTCCACACACCAGTATATGTTTACACTGTTGTTGTCAGGCCCAGTGTATCTGTGTGTGGGTTTGATGGAATAATTGCAATGTGTTGTGTCTGTAAACCACATCCTTCCAATCACTAAAGGTTATCATGGAGAGGATATGCTGGTCTACCGAGACAGGAAATGGTTACATGCTGAAAATCTGATTGATCCTTTACTTCCGTCAGACATGTGATGTTGGCCTGACAGGAGGGTGTTCAGAGTGGAATATTGTAGTGTAAAATCTCTCCCCCACTGCTATATCTGGCGAATGCTTTCTATTTTTGTTTATCTTTAGAAATGCACCTGCTCTAATGAGAAACTTGTGGACTAAATTTAATGCCCCCACGTTTCCGTTACACATGTTTGTTTGTTCTCAAGGCTCACAGAAACTGTCAGGAGGGTGATGATGTGTTTCCCTCCCCTTTTTGTTAATACAGTTTTTTTTTTTTTTTTTTTAATGACAACCCTGACCACAGCCCGCATCTGTTGGTTGATCATTTTGTAGGTGGCTATTTGCTTTCCCTCAGAGATGTTGAACAATGTAAGATGGTTTGAGTGTTTGGAAGGGGACAAAAATCACAATTCTGTTTTCATTGTTTCAAAATTTGAGTTTTGTCAAAAGTTGGCACAAAACTGTTAAATTGCCATAAATTTGCTAGCATACTACTAAAACTTGTCAAAACTTTGAACATTTATATTTCTCTTCATAACATTCGTGGGCGTTTTTTTTTTAATTCATTACTGATTAGCAATAGCATGTAGCAAACTGAATAGAAAGTCTATTCTTTTTTTTTTCTTCATCAGGTTTTTACATTAAAATTGATATTGAGTGTTTAAGGGAACGTACACACACACACACACACACACACATACATATATGTATATACATAAATTTTTTTAGATATTTTTGTAATAGATTTTTAAATATTTTTCCCGTTTTTATGCAGTAAATATTTTAATTGTCTATGTAATGAGTTTTTTAAATACAAATAAGTGCGTATTCCATATTAATATGAGCTCTTAACTCCACGTATAATAAATAAAAAAGGTAAAGTACAGACTCATGAAGTTACATGAAGATACTGTGCTTGACAACCTTTATGAACAAAAACGAGTCAAAGAACCACTTGATGGCGCTTAAGGATTGCCGTCGTCGTTCAATCAGAAACAATGCTGCAGAAACTGATATCTAACTGATGAACAGGGCCACTTTACAGAGAAGGAGAAAAAACACTACAGTGCAGAGATGTGATAAGAGTGGGGGGTGGGGAGGCCACGAGAGTTCATGAGTCGCTGTCTTTTTGAATTTGCATACTTGTATGAAGCTATTTGCAATGCAAAGTCAAGCCAAAGATTTAAAGGAACATTGCAATGTGATTGGCTGCTTGTTTGATCACCTGACACTCTTTGTTCACTATTTTGAACATTTACCTATTTACATGGGAGAAGAATTCCTTGTGGAGGTTTTCCACATATCAATTTGCAGTTTTTTTTTGGTTGTGTTTGTGTTCCAGAGGTGTTTTCTGTGTTTGAAAAACATGTGGAGGCCATGCTATTGACAAAAAGCTAAACAACTAAAGTACAGGGGTCAAATTAAGGTATTTACAACACTACAAAGCAGTTGAACCTCAGACCTTGATGAAAACTTATTTAATATTTGTTTTTTTTTTTCACTATATTTGTGGACCAACAGTCAGTTTTATGGTTTTGAGGTTACAAATGTTCATGTGACTTTTGACTTGCATTGTTAAAGAGCTCAGACTACACTGCGAGTTTTAGCAGGAAGTGCAAATTACATGTTTAAAGTCATTGAACATAATCTGTTTTTATGTGTGCATGTTACACAAGCACTATTTACACTCAACACAAAGCCCCATGAGGCCCATTGTGATTGGTATGACCCTATTTGTACCGTTTGTCAGGACTGCACTTGACTAATTCAGTTTCTAGAATTAAATTCATTTTAACATTAACAACACACAAATGCACTGTACAAACATCATGTTGTGCGCATATAACATCCTTTCTGGCCCAGGCTTGGTACTTTCCCCGTGAGAGTCATTTGAGTTCTTAAATGAGTAAGCTGATGATTCTGGGAAGGAAAGGGTTAATTTTTCACTGCCCCCATCTATTATTTTTCTCTACTTTTCTCTTTCCTCTCTCTTTCTTCCTGTCACTCTCTGTCTCTTCCTGCTCTCCTTTTGTTTCTGTTTCGTTTGGCAGCTCTCTACTTCATTTAGACTTTTACATTTACTCTACGCACATCTTGCCCTCTGACACACACGTGCATGTTTTGTTTGTGGATAGTGGTTATGCGTATATAACCACTACATACGTACACTACATACACAATACTACTTTGTGCTTTTCACAGTCTCATGTATTTTTTATTAGCCCCCATAAACAGAGGAAAGCACACCTGTCTCTATCACCTGCTCTTATTGCAATCATAAACATTACAAATAGGCGTGTGTAAGAAAGAGAGAGTGGCTTTTTGTATGTTAGCAGGCTGCTATGTGTCACGGGTCAGCTGCTCTGTGTGTGATTTCCACACAAGGAGAGAGATGATAAATAGAAAAGGGTGTTTCAATAAGTTGAACCTGTAGGCTGAGTTGAGCTAGTTTGTCTGCTTTTCAGCTGTCTGCTTTAATTATTGTATTTTTGGGTTTAATTAAAGGCAAATATTAGGTCACAAACAATACAGACTCCTTCCGTGAGTACACACTGACTCACCGTGACTTAATGAGATGACTAAAAAGTTACCATGATTATGAAAACATTTGATGTTTCAGTACTTTTGTTTCTCAGGGGTTCATGATACAAATGTGTGACATTACATTGAGCTATAATGTTGAGATATCAGCTTAAAAGTGAGATGTAAAAAGTAATTCAATTATAGTAGTTAAATTATCCTAGTTTAATATTACAACTGCAAGTAAGACGTTTATAGTTTGGTTCCATTGAAAACTGTAAACATTGTGGCTATGAGGTGCTATTAAAATATTATTTGATTGAGAATTTTGACCTGCAACATGCTCAACCAATAGAGTGCAACAGTCAAGTTCTGGAAGTAATTCCCATTAATTTTCTTCATAGGGTAATGAATTTTTATAGCTTATAACCCATTGAAGATAGGCTCACTGTGACCCTGAGGTTGTTCATCGACTTATTTACCATAATCATGTTTAGCAGCAGAAATCCTGGTGAGAAACTACATTACCCATGATTCTGCAAAGAAATCCACCAATCAGAGAATTGAATTGCCTCTGCTCCAGTGAATCACTTCTAATGATGCAATTGCTCTCAAACGGCTTAATATGTGCACAGTGTGCGTGTATAACCTCCTTTCTGGCCTAGGCTTGGTACTTTCCCAGTGAGAGTCATTTGAGTTCTTAAATGAGTAAGCTGATGATTCTGGGAAGGAAAGGGTTAATTTTTCACTGCCCCCATCTATTATTTTTCTCTACTTTTCTCTTTCCTCTCTCTTTCTTCCTGTCACTCTCTGTCTCTTCCTGCTCTCCTTTTGTTTCTGTTTCGTTTGGCAGCTCTCTACTTCATTTAGACTTTTACATTTACTCTACGCACATCTTGCCCTCTGACACACACGTGCATGTTTTGTTTGTGGATAGTGGTTATGCGTATATAACCACTACATACGTACACTACATACACAATACTACTTTGTGCTTTTCACAGTCTCATGTATTTTTTATTAGCCCCCATAAACAGAGGAAAGCACACCTGTCTCTATCACCTGCTCTTATTGCAATCATAAACATTACAAATAGGCGTGTGTAAGAAAGAGAGAGTGGCTTTTTGTATGTTAGCAGGCTGCTATGTGTCACGGGTCAGCTGCTCTGTGTGTGATTTCCACACAAGGAGAGAGATGATAAATAGAAAAGGGTGTTTCAATAAGTTGAACCTGTAGGCTGAGTTGAGCTAGTTTGTCTGCTTTTCAGCTGTCTGCTTTAATTATTGTATTTTTGGGTTTAATTAAAGGCAAATATTAGGTCACAAACAATACAGACTCCTTCCGTGAGTACACACTGACTCACCGTGACTTAATGAGATGACTAAAAAGTTACCATGATTATGAAAACATTTGATGTTTCAGTACTTTTGTTTCTCAGGGGTTCATGATACAAATGTGTGACATTACATTGAGCTATAATGTTGAGATATCAGCTTAAAAGTGAGATGTAAAAAGTAATTCAATTATAGTAGTTAAATTATCCTAGTTTAATATTACAACTGCAAGTAAGACGTTTATAGTTTGGTTCCAT